GAGTTTATGTTTTAACAAAGTCGGTTTTACTTATAAAATATCTTTTGGTCTAAATGGTCAAGTTTAAGAAAAAAAAATTACTTCTGTTTTTTAGTTATAGAAAAAATGGTTTATTATTCTGAAACCAATAATATTAACCCTTGTCAAGTAGTCCATTCAACCATTTCTTCTCTTTTCATCTTTTACATTTCCATAAATATTATTTTTTCTTACAAGCATAACAACCAATTGAGAACACTCACAAGATTGCGGTAGATGAGAATGTCTTACATTGTCTCTTAAATTCTTCCCACAGACCATGAAAGCATTCCTGCCTGCAATGATCAGCACCAATCATGGCCATGTAGTGAACATCAACTCTTGTCTGGGGTTCTCCACCATCCCAAGGGGCGGGGATTACTCCGCCTCCAAACATGCCACTCTTGGGATGATGGAGGCACTGAGGGAGGAGCTACATGAAAAGGGCGTGGCAGGTGTCCATGTGACCACCATACATCCATATATGGTCAGAAATAGGATGTTTGAAGGATGTGAGACAAGGTAGTTTGAAGGCACTGGGTTGGAAAATTGTTCAGAATTTTTTTCTATTTAATATATTTCCAATCTACATGTTTATGCAAATTTTTCTTGTCAGTTTTCTAACTAGGGTGTTCCCGTAATACCTGGTCCAAAGGCCACAAAGCCATTTCTTAAATCCTATTCTTCTTATGATCCTTAACTAGGTCTGATTAGATTTTATTTTTCAGTGCAAAAAAATTACTGAAGTACTAGTATGATATGATGTATACATGACATGATTGTATCTTCAAGAAACCATTGTTGGAAGATGTGAAAAATACAGAGATATTTAAACACAGAACTCTTTTAGCTCAGACAAATGGAATGTCAAAAAACTTGCTGCATTTGGTCACCATTATACACATTTCTGAATTCAGATCTATTCATTGTGGTTATATTTGATGAATTAAAGATAATTATTTACTAACAAGTAAACTTGGTCTTTTGAATTTGTTTCACCTTTGTTTAATCAGGTAACACTGGTAACATATTATATAAATATGTCATTTCTTCGTCAGGTTCCCTAATTTGTTTCCTCCACTGGAAGAAGATCATGTTGCTATGGAAACAGTGGATGCCATATTGAAGAATAAAGGAATGATTATACTTCCTTTGTTGCAGTATTTAACTTGGGTGGCTAGAAGGTGAATTTGGCCTTTTTTAGTTGAATAATTTATTCACTTTAATTATTAATTTTACATTGCATAATTGGCTTTGCATTTTTGTTTGAAAAAATATGAATTTACAATACAGGTACATGACAGTGATTAAAAGCAATTGATTTGAATTTTTAATTGAGACAAAGTTAAATAAATATTACTATTTTCAGCACTAGCTTGGAGTAGAGGTTAATTGCAATTTCATAAAATTCCAACAAAGGGAAACTAATGAATGAAACTTAAATTACTTTCAGCATGCTTCCCGCAGTAACCATCTACTCTGTGCTGCAGTTTACTGGTGTGGACAGTTTCTTTGCCAGTATCAAAGCACACGATTAAAACCCAATCCCAGCAATTGCTTTGGCTTGCTTGGTAATTCATTAATCAATTAATTAGTACCACCAGCGTGTACGCTGGCGGTACTCATGGTTTTAGTCCCGACCCGTCTCGTCCGGCTCCGCCGGCTCCATTGGCTCCGCCGGCTCCGTAAGCTCCGCCGGCTCCGCGTACTGGCGCCGGATACAAGTCACCGTTACCGCTTCTCCTCCTAGACCGCAAGGACCCCTGTCCCCATCTCTTGGATTTAGGTCACATATAACCTCAACTTGAACCCCCAGGTTTTTTTGTCTCAGTCGGTGCATTAACCTGGGCGTGACGCTCGTTGAAATGCACCCTTGTCAAAATTTTTGAAAATTCAATGCCAATTATCTACCCTACGGAAGGAATTATGGGAAAAATTTCTACAGACAGCTTTCCAAAAGTCATGTGTAGATTTCAAATATGCCCTTGGATTTGACCTTTGACCTTTATTGCAAGGTCAAACGGGCCAAAATTTTCAAAAAAATGAAATTTTTTACAAAAAAAATATTATTTGCGCTGTTATTCAGACACTACACAGACTTAACCAATAATATTATTGGAAAGTGTTACCCTTTGGGTCATCTTTCATCTCCGTGAATTTGGGGTCAATCGGTGCATTTTCACGGGAGAAACGGCCATAAGATACCGAAACTGAAGACTGTCTCTAATTC